TCGATTCTGTATGCATGGTTTCGTTTTCAGGCACTGCTGGACCTTTATGACTTCAGTAAGCAAACTGATAATCAGTGGTTTTTCTTAAGCCTTATAAATCAATATATCAGCAATCCAGATATGACAAAAATCTCATTTCTTTAACACCCAGGCATTGTTTACAGATAGCAAGGTCTCTTAGGCTTTTCAATCTGCGTTCACATTGATTGTGCATTTTAAATTAAAGTTAGTGGATTGGATTGGTCAGATGTTGGGGCTTGGAATCCTATAACCAAAGCAGTGTTCTGGCAGACTAAGAGGGAGGGCCTCCGAAGCGGACCTTCCCTGCCTGGCCCTCTCTCTCCTCAGAAGCAAGCTGTACACCAGTTGTCCTCCAAAGGCACTGGCACCCCTCCTTCCCCAGAGCAAGCTTAAGGCTTGTCTCTCTCATCGCTCAAAGACTTATTTTAGAGGGAGCCTGGCTATAGCCAGGAAGGAGAATCACCACACAGAAGCCAAGAAGCATCCTACGGACAGGCGTCCTGGGGCCCAGTAGCCTCCTATCACAGTCACACTTCTAGTCTGAGTACAGCTCCACATGGCTGTCTATCTTCCTTTAGGTCTAAGGGTAAACGCCTTCCTCAGCCTGTGAGTCTGTCCTTTCTGCCTAAGTGTGCCGTCTTGGTCAGGTGAAGCAAGCACTTGTCTGATCCCCCAAAAAAATGTCAAGCGCCATGGACTTTGTTGGTGCTATGTGAGTGTCCAGGTACATTTCTGTGTGTGTGCGCACATATGTGTGAGGTACATGTGGAAGCCAAAGGACAGCCTTTACTATCCTCAGAAACTTATTCAGACAGGGTCTCTGTCTGACCTGAACACTCCAAGTAGGCTGCTGCACTGTCCTCTGCTTCCCATGCTGGTGTTACAAATGCACCCCCCCCCCACACCCCCAGCCTTCTAACGTAGGCCTGAGGCTTGAACTTGGGTCCTTGTGCTTGCACGCAGGCACTTACAGACTGAGCCATTTTCCCAGCCTCAGAGGGACACATCAAGCTCTGTGTATTGTGGGAGTCTCTGTGATGCTGGGGATTGTTCTTCATTCATTCTAAACTTTCCTAGGCTGAGAACCTCACTGATTATACATTCCCAGGTGAAGAAAGATTGGAGGTTTCAGCCTCTCTAGTTCCTAAAGAAAGAAATATCAAATTCCATTGGCACCCAAACCTGATTACAGAACACGTGTGTCTTCATGTGGGGTTTACACTGTTCAAACAACAATGGAACATTATGATTCAGTTTCTTTTCAATGTCAAGTAGAATCTAGTATTATTCCCATGGATGCTTTTCACTGGACAGGCTGAGTGGATGGAGGGTATACAGGACACTGCTGTTTAAACAGCCCCAAGCCCATGCCAGGTTCCCGACTCCCGACCTGCTCCCTCACACGCGGACCATCACCTCGTGTGCTCTGGGAGGGAGTGAAGTATGATATGGATTCCGTTCCCAGAAGTGTCCATCACTGTCCATCACTCTGAGAACGGCCTCAGGGTCAGTTCTCTGACTAGGCCAACTACTCATTGCCGAGTGCTCTCTCTGCACCACCCTCTCCCACCCTCTGCATTCAGCTGCTTTTCTTGGGGCGAGTCTTTAGGGAGGGGGGTTTTTCAAAGAACTCATGGCAGGGACTGTGCCAACCAGGGCTTGGGCAAGATTGATGGGGGCGCGCTGGTAGGCCAATGTAAAGTCCACACCAACTAACCCTACTGCGAGCCTCAAACCTTGCGGCTGTCAACTCTGGAGCCATCCTGGCTCACAGGGGTGACAGTGCACCTTGTTGCGTCCACACCCAACGCCTCAATGACTAGTTTTGGGGTCTCAGGTAACTTGTTGTGAATGGTAGGTTCTCACCTGTAAGGGAGACAATTCCTGTTGAGCAGACTCAGCTGCCAGACACGTTACTTCCGCAGGCTCCCTCCCCACTCTCATTTTCTGCCTTCAGGCTAGGCCGGGGGGGGGGGGGGGCCTTGCATGCCAGGTTGCTCGTCTGGGAGTGGGGGTGGGGTCTAGGTGATGAGAACCCGTGTCCTGCTTGCCCTGTGACTGCTAGTCCTGTCAAGTCTCTCTGGGGCTGGCTCGGTTTCCAGTCATGCAGATGAGAGGGGCCTGGAGACAGGAGGATGAACGTCTCTTCCAGGCCTCAGCTGGTGTGGACTATGCTTCCACGCAGCACCTTACACCAGGGTGGGAGAGAAACGGTATGGTCACCTCCGACCTCAATAACAGATGCTCACGCTCCAGTGCCTCCGGCAAACAGGCGACTTGACATTTTGTATGATGAGATTGCTCGCAATCGAATATACTGCTTCCGTGGAATGAAAAAGGCCAAACCTTCGACAGGTTTCCCTGTAACCTTCACTCATGGGTGGGACAGCGTGGTGCCAGAGCCACTGGGAAGGGGGGGCAGCCATTCAGCCCCATGTTTAATGTCCATTTCTATGGAATTAATAAGGATCCAAAGGATTTAAATGTGAAAGACCTGCTTACAAAAAAACCATGGCACCTTGTCCCAGTTCTGCCTTCTGTAACAGAAGACCTGAGGCTGGGCAATTTATGAGTGAAGACCTGTATCAGCGGTTCTCATTCTGTGGGTTGTGACCCTTTTGGTGGTCAAACAACCCTTTCACAGAAGTCACCTAAGACCATCGGAAAACACAGATATTCAAGTTTGATTCATAATAGTAGCAAAGTAACAAAGTAGCAACAAAAATAACTTTAGGGTGTGTGTGTGAGTCACCACAACTTGAGAAACTCTATTAAAGGGTCCAGCATGGGGAAGGTGAACCGCTGATCTATGTATTTGTTTCCTTTTGGTGGTGGTGGGGATCGAACCCAGGTCCTCACCTATGTGCTCTGGCACTGAGTCATTCCTCCAATGCCTGGAGATTTCTTCCTGGTCCATCGGCTGGTATCTGAGGTTAAACGGCCTTCTTGCAGGGAGCAGCTGTGTGAGAGGGATCCAATTTAACCTGTTTTATCAGGAACCTTTTGTGTGGTAAGCAACCCACGCCTGCCACAGAACATTAGTCCATCAGAAAGACACCTCTCAAGGGGCCCGCCTCTCAACACTGCTGTACCGGGGACCCTGTTTCCAACAAGTGCCTAGGCACACACATACAGACCGCCGGTGTGCATTCCTCCACCATGGAGTGGGGCCATCCATTACGAAAAGTGCAGAAAAGTGGGATGGGTCCTGTCACGGAATTGTTACAGGCTTAGTTCGGGTTTTCTTCCTTCCTACTGACCTGCTGGCTGGGAACGCGAACCATACAACCACCAGGACTAGGCTGACTGGCATGGTAAAGACTGCCCTCGTTCACATGATGGGCATGACATGCCAGAAGGGAGCTCCCAGCAACTGAAAGCGTATACTGCTCAAGACGAAGTATACTTCTGCAGCTCACCGCCCCACACTGCACGCAGGACCCTTCCACTTACTGTCCAGCCCTTTGTTTCCTGCGGCGTTCTCAATAAAACTCAGTTTTCTTTCTGTTCTGGCTTACAAGGAGATTCATTCACAACCGCCAATCTTCTCCCCACAGCGGAGGTGGCCAGTCCAGACCTGCTACACAGAAATATGTGTGCTCCACAAAAGGTTGCCACACTCCTAAAGGGACTCCTCAGAGTGCACACCAGGCAGCCCTGGGAAGGACGGTGGCGTTTCCAGATGCCTCTGTTGCTCCTCTAGTATCCTGGCCCCTAAGGCTTCACGTGAACCAAGGAGAGGGCGCTTCTGGATGACAAGGTGGCAGCCTGGATGCCGGCAGCACACGCAGATGCGACCTTTGTGACGAGTCCTTCCAGCAAAACATTGGAGTTCAGTGTCAGGTAAGAACCTCTCTTGCTGGAGATGTGGGCCTGACAGCGTTCCTTGCTGGACCTTGGCGACCCTGGCCTTGTCACACAGGTGTGGTTTTAAGAGGTTGGTGAACATGGGCTCACCTGAACCTCGAAAATGCCACTAGAAGGAGGCACGTGAATTTATTCCCCTTGTGGTTTTCTAGCCCCAGGCACCGGTGGTGGGGTTTCATCAGCGAGGTGACTATCTTCAGGATGCCTGGGTACCGTGAGACACCTCATCCGACTCTCATGCCCGTCCTGCAGCGATGGCTGCTTATTCCGTGTTACACGCAGGGAGAATTGAAGCTCAAAAAGTAGAGGGGGATCTCCCTATGCTCTGCAGCTCTCCAGCAGTTTCCAGATCTGTCCAGCTCCTCCTGTAATTAAGGCTTTCTGTGAGTCAAGGGCAAAATTTGTGTTTTTAATTAGGTGATAACTTAAAAAAAAAATACCATGAATGCCTTTGATGAAAATTCATTCTTTTAGTACACCTTGCTCAGTCAGTAGGGGTGAGGAACACAAAAAGCACTCACTTTTCCCCAAATTTAAAAAACAATGAGCTAAGTGTTGGGGGTGAGCACCGAGGTCCACAAAAAGGTGTTACAGGTTCTTGGCAGTCTCGTTTTAAATTCTTGCTCTAAGTGGCCACCTTTCAAAACAATCATTGTATGTGCTTGTGTTCTGGTGACTGGTGCGTTTTGATTGAGCTGGGTGAGATGATTCGTTCATTGGGTGAGCAAGTGGAGGCCCAGGACCACACGTGTGCAGGTAGGGAGTCATAGCCTCTGCTGCCTCAGTATGCACTGACTCCAGTAATGAGTGCGAAAGCTGGGGTGCGCGTTTCATTAGCTTAACACTTTTATATTTTATGGAGGAAATACATACCTAAGAAATAGCTAAATTCTCCAAACTACATTTCTGGAAAGTGGCTGGAGTGCCACAACACCCCCCCCCCCCTAAAAAAAAAAAGCCTCTGCTTCTAGCTTGCCTTCAGCAGTGCAATGAAATGGCAAATGGCACCCGGGGGAAACAGACGGTGTCACAGGCTAGGAAGTGAAACCTGTAAATTCCTGACAAATGCCATCGCATTTACAGGGCAAGGGGAAAAAAGCTCCACACGACTCTTTTATGCTAAAGACTTTATTTTTCAGACCTTTTAGAGAACAGCTTTCACTAAACACTGTTGGAAATGAAACGACAGATGCCCAGGTGAAGCTGGATGGTGAAGGAGCCTCTGGAAGGCCCACCATCCCTCTGCGCAGGTCAGTCAGGCCTGCTTTCACACACTAGCCAAACTGCTACAGTCTCCATGCAGCGCCATCGACACCTTACAGAATTAACATGCAGAGACACTTGTGAGGGTGGACTAGTTCTGACCGAGGCCGAGAGGCTCTGGTTCTGCACACTGGACCATGTCTCCTCAGGACAGATGAACTGGCTGGCACAGAGCTAGGCCAGCACGCTGGAGGTAGCTCACAGAGCCCTGCAGGTGTCAGGGTACGGATGTATAGACATTCACAGATGTGAGACAAAGGCTTCTGTGATGGCCCAGGTCAGGGCAGACTCCTGACAGGATGGGCTGGTGACGGCTAGCATCAAGCTTATGAACACAAACCACAACCTCAGCTCTTTTCTCACCCAACACAGCACATTTCAAGACACGGGCACAGTCACTGAGACTTCCAGTGCAAATCTCATTTTCTCAAGTCTAGGGTGAACGTGCATGTAGCTAAAGGCCAGAGAGCCACGTCTGACAGCTTTTCTGTGCTGCAGTTCGGCTTTCAGCTTTGGATCTATAAACAATCTTCTCCCGAAGCTGCCCCTCAGGCAACAGTCACAAGTGATGATGGCCAAAGAAGTTGGTTTGCTTTTGCCACACCATCGTAGCCCAAATGGGTCACCTGCAGCCTTCATGCAGAATTTAGAAACTGGAAAAATCATTTAAGCCTCAAATCCAGAAGTGACTCCATGGGTGCACAAAGAGGGTGGCTTTGGCCTCTGTCAGCAGGGTAGGCTGTGAGGCGGAAGTCGCAGTGGGAGGGCAGAGCGCTCCCCAGGGGGCGTACAGGTCCATCTACTTGCTCAGCCTCTGCTGGGCATTCAAGAGATCCCACTCGCTGTCTTCTGCCAGGGAGGATGCTGCATGAAGGGGACTGGTGAAGCCATTATTTTAGCATCTTTACCATGTACGGGCCTTGTAATCTGTAGCCAATCTTTCGGTAGTAATTCCTTGTGCCAACCCCTGCAGAAGAAAACAGAATACCAGAGCTCTAGACAGCCTCATTTTAGTTGCCCTCAGAAGTCAGCCATGAACCTCTCCGCCTCATGCCTGGTCTCTCATTCAAACTTCACTGCTGTCCAAACAATCTCAGTGTAGCAAATTTGTCCTATTTCTATTATGCCAACTTCTAGCTGTAGGAACACACAGGTTCTGCGCTGGGGGAGAAATGTCCTTTCTGACCGCTAACACACGACCAGGGTATATAGCATGCACATTTATGTAGGCACAACAGATGTGCCTGGACTGTGTTTCAGGGTCTGCATGAACAGTGTCATTCAGCACTGGGTAAGGAATGCATGCACAGCTGAACATGGCCGCTCTCTGAGACGCTGGGAGTACACACGGGGTTGAAGGAAAAGCTCTCTTTCACCAGCGGTCACCAGGGAAGTGGGTTTGATGGAATGGCCCTGGCTCAGAAAAACACCTGGTTTGGGAAGAGAAAGGTGGGGTTTCCAAACAACTCTCCAGTTCTCTGTGGAAGCCAGCTTGGTATCCTCTAGGTCAACTCAGTTCTGACACTACTGAAAGTTAGAACGGATGATGCAGGGTAAGGGCTCAGCCCCTATTCAGCCTCAACTTCAGACATAGGTTGTAAGTACTCCATCTTTAACCCAAACACTCGGGAAGAGAACTTCCCACATCATTTATTTCTACCCACTTCAGAATATTTGAAGCATTAGAAACCAGCTAAAGGCCGTGTGACGGAGGTACAGAGCCACACGGACAGCTGACAGATCATCAGGACAAACTCTAACCAGGGAAACAACACTGCCTTGTACATGACTACTTGTCATGTTATAATTATGACTTCAGTCTGGCATGGGCTTGGGGTCAGACAAGGGAACAATGGACATATGAATACTGGGCATGGACAGCAGCTCAGATTCAGTGAACAGGAGGGCTCAGACCCCCAAAAGGACAATCTTTCTCCAAGTTCTTGGTCTGTAGCCATGCCCCATCAGATATCCAGCTTAGTGAAAATAGAAATGCTATGCTCAACAAGTGACATAATAGTCTAGGACCCCAAGATAAGAGAGAACTCAAATCTCTATCTGTTGTTGGCACCTATAATCACAAGGGAATATAATAGAGCAGTGAAAAAGTAACTGTATCCATGTGGAGAAATTTTTCAGAACTGTGTGGATGAAGCCAGATCTAAAACATTTCATTTATACAAAATTCAGACATAGGAAACACTATAATTTCATCAAATAGCTGCATCTGAAAGATGCTAAGGGTTCAGGGCTCTTTGGGGCTGAGGATGCTGTTACCGAGCTGGGTGGGTTACATAGGGACACACCCTTGCCAGCGTAGCCCCTTCTTGGCACCCCACTCTACATGTATGCCACACCTCCTTACAAACCCTTAAGAGAGACAGCCCTTTAAAGTGTTTCAAGAGTTCAAACTGTCTGAAGGATTCAGGAAACTAAGGCAGAGTTGGGCAGGAGAAGAGGCAGGTAAAAATCCAGGACCAGGACAACCCAGTGTGTTCCAGGTACAAACATGGTCATCTGTGCCCAGTTCCTTCTAGAACCCCATTCACCAGAAACTGAACATCAATTTCTATGCCCGACTCAATCTTCCTAGACAAAAGAGCTTTTTACAGGCGACACTGATTTCTGTGAAAGCCAGAGAATACCTATGTAGGACGTCACAGCACAGTGCTCTTCCGTATGACCCATCTGGGTGTGTGAGGACAAGAAGAGATAATCCTACTGGTCAAGCCGTCATAGAAAATCTGAATTCAGAGCCTAAGATCACTAGTGGCAGGTCCTAAGGCTTGAATTACTTCCTGAAATATAATACAACACCTTTTACACCCCAACAGGTTGGCTTTAGCTCCTGCCTATGGACCTTATGATATTAAAGGACAGATTGGCTGCCCAGGCTGACCCCACTTATCTGCCATGCCGCCTACCAGGTACCCCATGCAGCCCTTGCCCTCCAGTCCAAACTCAGGTACTAGAGACCCTGGGTTTTTTCTTTTTTTAGCCAGAGGCTAGGCCCCAGTTATTAGGATTTACACTTCTCCCTGCTGGCTAGCAGGACAGACTTTAATCACAGTGACATTGTTTCAGTATTGAATGCTCTATTCCACTGTGTCTCTGCCTCGCCTCCTGGAGTGTAAGGTCTTTAAGCCAATGGCTTCTGTCACTGGGGTTATTACAGTGACTAGCACATAATCAGGATGTAGTAAATGTCTGGGGCCCTATTACACACTCGTTATTTTCATGTTATGCACACATAGAGAAAAGTGCTCCTGCAGGATGCTCTGTCGGAAGCAAGAACTGGCTTTGCACTGAGCCAGCAGGTGGGAGGACCACACACAGAAGGTAGGAGGGGCAACCCTTTGGAACCCTACAGATCCCTACCTTGCTGGCTGAGAGGAGCCATTTCCCAGGGACTTGTTTATGCTGTAAGGGTCTCAAGCATCCAAAAGTGGAGGCACAGGTCTACTGACCCTGCAAGCCATCATGCAGCTTCCACAGTGGCTGACTCACCCCTGGGGCTTGGCTCCTAACTTTCCCAAGTGATCCTTTCATACCTAGTTAGGTCAGGCCCTAAATACACATAATTCTGCTTGTTTGTATGTTCCCTGTTAAAGCAAGATGGTGGCCTAGTTAAGATCTGCAGCTGGGCAACATGTTTTCATATAACCCAGCCCTACTTAATATGCCCAGATAACCAGAAGGTGAGTGATGGAAAGAGCCCTGAATTCCCAGGTGTGTGGTTAAGACATGGGCTTTCCTGGAGCTTATGGGAGCATTTCTCAGCGATGATTCCAAGTGAACCTACTGTTCCTGGGGCCTCTACTTCATAGAGAACTGGGTCCTTGAGACCCGGCTGCGAGAGCCACTGGGCTTCATATGGTCCTCACTGGCCAGCTTAGCATAGTTTTCATGAACACACTGCAGCCCCAGATAGCTCCTCGGTCTCTGAGAAGCTTTGAGTGCTATGGAGAGCCTGGCCTCGGGCTGGTACAAACTTCAACCTGTTCCCCTGCAATTTCTTATGCATCTTGATTCCTGAAGTTAAGACATGTTCATTTCTCCAAATCTGCAGGACAAGCCGGCACAGCATTAAGCCTGCTCCGGGACAGCTGAAGGGAATGTGGTATCGCCTGGGTGGGTGAAGCTCCTGCCTGCCTCCCGCCTCCTCTCCGCCTTTGCAGGGCTCAGGCAAAGTCCTCTGTCATGGTTAACTTTCTATGTGTTAGTCAGCCAGGAGAAAGCAATTACCCTTTGGAGCTGACGTCAGTGGCCTCCTGGACTGTGCTGACGTGCTAGGCTGTCTTGGTCCCAGATCAGCCTGACTGTTGCTGCCTCTTCCTGGCAGAAGAAACAACAGCTGTGCAAGTGGTTGTGCAAGTAGGAGTTCTTCACTCCATCGCTTGTGTGGGCTGCTGCCAAATCCCCGGACTGGGAATGAGCAGGGTCCAAGTGCTCTCGGCTGTGGTCTCTGGGATGCTTACTGTAGAGACCCCACTTGTCACAGTCGTAGCAAAGACGGGAGGGGAAAGTCTGGCTTTGTCCACCCTCACGGTTATTTAGTGCACAGTCTGAATGCATCCACGCCAGGACCTTCAGCAACAGTCTCAGATGTTGCACTAGTGACCAGCCTGTGCTATCTCCTTGACCTCCAGTTCTGCCCTAGGTCTTCTGAGAGAAGGAAAAGGTGTCTGCATAGACTTAACTGTGCACACTAAAAGCAGTTATTAAAGTGGCTTCGGCTGTCTTCTTTCAAGGGAAAGCTGACCCAGGCAAAATAGAAATTAAAGGGTGTGACTCGCTCAATATCCTAAGGGGCCACTCAGCATGCAGTGGGGAAGGAAGTCCCTGCCCTATAGACAGATGATCACCATGTCTGACTGCCAGGAGCCAACAGCCTCCTAGGGCACCTGGAAACCAGCAGTGACTGCATCTTAGGTTCCTTTTCTTTGTTGAATGTGCTTAGTCTCCAAGCCCTTGACATGAAAAGAAGACCCTGCTTTCTGATCCCCTCTCCCAGGCTAGCTGTGATACCATTTAGCCTGCTCTAAGGAAGAAGAAAGGACACAAGATTCTTTGCTAATTGCCCCAGCCACTGGCTGTGGGAGGTTAATTACAGGTTGCATAATGAGGTCTAGTAAATGGTATGTGTGTGTGTGAAGATTAAAACAATTAACTAAGACACAAATGGAACAGATCCAGTTGCCTAAGTTCTATACTGCTGAGGGCTGGGAAGATAGTGGGCAAAGCACAAACAAGGGGATCCTAGTGCAGATGCTCAGCACCCATGTTAAAAGTGACTCTGCATGTGTGTTGGGGATGGAGAAGGAACTAGGAGGGGTAGCAGGCTCACTCTAGGCTCAGTGATGGATCCTGCCTCAAAGGGATAAGGTTCTCCTTTGGCCGCTGTTCTCATGCACATGCACACCCACAGTTCTATCTTATTCTCTGGAGGAAAGAGCAGGCAATAGAGGGGTCCTGTTGATGTGATGCCGGAACTCACTGGAAGCCATTCCTTCGTTTCTAAGGAGATCAATTACACACCTTAGAACGCTGAAGGAACCACACTCTTTCTTTAAAAGGAAAGATAAATCAAGAGCTGGCAACTTGTGGCTTTAATTCCATTTGGAGTAAAGAACAAGGTGATAGTTGAGTACAAAGAGGAGGAGAGGCGAAGCCTCCTCAGTACCTGTGTGTCAGGGATGGAACCGGTGCAGGGCTCTACACACACACCAGGTTGTCTGACACCTGGTGGGGCTGAGGAGGGATTTTCTGAATGGGCCTTCACTTTGGACCTACACACCCCACACCCACAGGAGTGCTCCCCTGCTGCTCCCACTCTGCTCCATGAGGAATACACTCTTCTGTGATAACAGGGGAGGACTTTGCTTGTCATGACTACCTCAACCTTCTGCATTTGTGTCTGGGTCTCAAATCCCTGGAGAAGCTGAGACAGCAATGTTTCATTTCAAC